CATAACACATCATCTATTGTCAAGCTTTAATAACAAAATTTCTATGGACCTAAGGCTAATATATGGCACATTGTTTATTCAGGCAAAAAAATGCAAAACAAAGAGAATGAAGTGAGACGTCGATTTAATAGATCCTGAATCTTATCGATACATCTGAGACGGGATTGTCAGCTTTCTATCGACAATCTTTTGGCTGGCCACTTCTGGGGAACAAAGTTTTTTTTTTTCGGCAGCAGCAGAGAGATAAATTAACTGCACTCTAACAATTAATCAAGCAATGTAAAAGCAGGAATTTCTTCATGCCTAAACTGTTCTATTGGAACACCGCTGTGAAACACTCGAAGTATTACCACTTTGATGGTCCTTGATGACTTACGAAGCTATTGAACAAAAAATCATCTTCGGTTTGACGTTTATTGATGTCATCGCTGTTGACCTTTTTTCATGACAATAACTTATCGAGCAGCAGTTCCTTCACCGAACATCTACGTGATTCCAAAGCAACTCCGTCATAATAGAGCAATAATGTCTCAAAATTTGTTGTCATATGGTTTAAAATTACGTTTTTCTCCTGTACAAAAAAAAAAAGCTAAGAAACAAAAGATACTCCTTTTGAAAAAAAATAACAACTTATTTACTTCTTAGGTCAAAAGTGCAATTTAACGTACAACTTTTAAAGAACCCTTTGTTCTTAACATCTTTACTCAAAATGCAACATTTTTCAACTCTTATTGTCAAATGTTACTGTAAAAAAGCTCTGTAATTTTTTCGAAAAAATGTTTTTAAAAAGAATAACAGTCAAACTCATGCATCGTCAATATCAGAAGGTTTTTGAAAATCATTTTTCAAAAAAAGACCTTATAAAAGAGCGAAAAAAGTGCTTACTATTTTGGTTTACCTATCTGTCCACAATCGATGCTTTGAAAAAAAAAAAAAAAAAAACTGCACTAGCGATGTGTCATTGTGTGAAGGCACAAAAGTTTTGTGGAGAAATAAATAATACTTTTAATAGCTAAAAAAAAAATCAATTACTGTTTCAAGAGTTGAAAATAAGAAACCAAATAAAGAACAAATACTTCTTATATTAAGAAACATCTAGACGTGTGTATATTTTGTATTATAAAGTGTTACAAGTGAACCGAGACTTCCGTTAATAAAAAAAAGAAAGAAAAAACAAAAATACCTGGGAAAAAAGAAACGCTTTACAGGAATAATTCTTGTATGCTTCTACCTTCTCAGGGTATTGCTGAAATGGATTTTTAAACATGTAAATATTATGTGAATTGAAATCAAACGCTGACTCACACTGCACCAACACCAATATTTGTGTGCTTTTTACAGGGGTCTTTCATGCATTATATACATATAGATTATATAAAATGTGTAACTAGATAGAAGAAATTGAGAAAAACGTTTTTTGTAAGCCACTTGTAGAGTACAGAATTATGAGATAATATCAGTATAAAACTTAAAGGTAATTGCTATTAATGTGACTAATGTTGTTAGATAACAGAATAAAGTTACAAAAGAAATAATCAAAAAATTTTAAAAAATTACTAGTTTTTAAAAAATTATTTCATTTCTTACCACTTATCGCAATTATTTGTCTCAAACAGTTATTGTAAGAACCGAAAAACGATCAGCAATTTAAATATATGGTTTGCTGAAACAGTAGCATGAAACGTATGTCTGCTATAAAAACCAGTAAAACTGAATGTCTAAGCAAAATTTTTAGCAGAAAATTCTTCTACGATTTTGAAAAAGAAAGCAGTCGTAAAGGATAACCAAAAGACAAAACACTAAATCAGTTTAATAAATGATAACACTATAAATGGCCCATTTTAAAACAATCTATTTTGACTTTTAATCCAACTTCTTTCAATTCTTGTCAGTGCAGGTGACAGATACGTCTCTGCCGTTCCTTTATGAGTTCTTCTAAATCATCCTCCTGAGTAATCTTTATGACTAAAACCGCCAGAGAAGTTATATTATACCAACGCTGGAAACTAACATTTCAAACTACAATTTAGTACCATACTGATTAACCCTTTACTTTGTTATTTGTACTGTTCTGAATTATAGTGGATTATTTTTGTCTGTCATTGACTTCGCTCTAACCGTGTTTTGAAAGGCTCTGTATAATATATATCTACAGTATACAGCACTCCTCACTATAAACTTTCTGTAACCCGGAGTATTTGACGTATATTTAATTGGGGATCTTACCCTGATTTCTCACCACTGCAGGTTTCAAAGCGTAAACAACTGCCTTGTGCAGTTTTCTCAATTAAACAAGTCCTGAAAACTCACTTACAGTTGTGGAATAACTTTTACCTTTTAATTTTGAATGACTTGCTATTAGTTATTCACCAGACCTGAATAGATATTGTTGATTTTCCCTGAGATCTACATGGTGGACTTAGCTTATATTAAACTTTGCCAAAAGGAACTATAACTTGAGACTTCTTTTGAAGATCTTGGATTTCTGGTCTTAAATGTTAAGAAAATCTAACAATTTAAAATCCTTCATTTCAACTTCAAATTTCACGAGTCATTACACTGTATGCTCACTGTTAAAAAATGCAGAGAGACAATGTTGCCCTCAACGAACTAAATATGAGTATAAACTATACTGTAATGGAACCAAACATGATTAAAAATTTGCGACATTGACACTACGAAAGGATATTTTAAAAAAAGGATAACAGCTTGTCAGCAAGCCGAATGAATTACAACAGAGCACAATGACTATTAAAATAAAAAAAAATAAAAGAACAAAAAAAATCATTTAACACTTCGCTTTTACATTGCTTAATCGAGTATTTTTAGTTGTCTGTTTTTAACTTCCTCCGGCAACTGCGCTCTTTCAGTCTTTTTGTTGCTTTTACAAGTTGTTGATCACCGCATTTCGGCTTCTCGCGTATATTTGCAAACAGGAGGAACAGGGGACCTTACCAAAGAATGTATCTATTAAAAAATTTTAATATAATGTAATACTCAAGCTTAAAGCTTTAAAGAGCTTTCTTCGCACAACAAATAAAAATCAAAAAAAGGTTACTGTGTTAATAATATAAAGACCATCTCTTTCCTGTTACCTGAGTTTACCGTGTATGTCGGTAGTAGTAGAGCAAGAACCTTAAGTTTTTTAATAGCAAAACTATAGCAACAAAGTAATACCAAGTTTCACAAATGAAAAATTTCATTTTTTTGAGAATTTTTTGGTTTTAGGCACACCGAACAATAAAAATGGCGTCTCATTGTAGGAAACAGAACAACCCAGTTTTTTCCACAGTAACCTATCTTGAAGTTGTAGTGCTTCAGTTGGCTGAGAATTATATAATACCTTAAACACAATTCAAATCAACATAAGATGTGAACGATATGACGACTGTAGGATAATATAAAAAATGCTTTTCAGCTGAACTTTCATAAATCTGATTGAACTTTCCAAATTTACAAGAATGATCTGAATTTAACGCCGAAATTTTATCATAAATCACATCTCTCTTACTTACAAGTATTTAAGAAGACTTGATTTGAATGACTTTACTTTGGTACGTAAGTTATGCTACGTC